TAGTTGACCTTACTGAGTGAGTCTGGGCGTGTCCAAGTGAACACACTAGTGGTTAGTACTAGTTGACCTTACTGAGTGAGTCTGGGCGTGTCCAAGTGAACACACTACTGGTTAGTACTAGTTGACTTGAATGAGTAAGGCTGGGCGTGTCCAAGTGAACACACTAGTGGTTATTACTAGTTGACCTTACTGAGTGAGTCTGGGCGTATCCAAGTGAACACACTACTGGTTATTACTAGTTGACCTTACTGAGTGAGTCTGGGCGTATCCAAGTGAACACACTACTGGTTATTACTAGTTGACCTTACTGAGTGAGGCTGGGCGTGTCCAAGTGAACACACATCTAGTTAGTAGTAATTGACTTGAATGAGTGAGACTGGGCGTGTCCATGTGAAAACACTACTGGTTATTACTAGTTGATTTGATTAAGTGGATCTGGGCGTGGCTAAGTGGGCACACTCTAAACCTTCAGCGATATAGCCTTGACAATGAACTGTATCATAGGTTAGAATTAGTTATGCGTGGTGCGGTACTGTTGACTGATTCACCTGACTCTGGTAAACATTTCTCAATTATTACTGGCTGAGGTGTTAATCTTGAAGTGTTACGTTTAATATATTAAGCAGAAGGAAACCAGTATTGCAATGGAAAAAGTTTGTCAATGTTTTACTGTTTTGTTACAGGTGTCATTAGGTTACAAGACTTCTTCAAAGAAGCTCAGAAGTACGGATGGAGATTGCATCTTTACCAGTTCAAATCAGGAGAAGCTTATCGGGACCTTTTCTGGAAAATTAAAGTGGCTGGAGACAATAGAATTGTATTAGACGTGAAAAGAGAAAACATATACACCGTTCTAAAGCACGTGAGGAATTTATCAAGTTTCCAATCCCAAGAAAGATTCTTAGTTTTCTACTTTGTAAAATCATAAAGAGGGTTATAAAATCATAACCTTCCTTTTAAAGGGGTTGTAAAATCATAACCTCCCTTGTAGAGGGGATGTAAAATCATAGCTTTTCTTGTAGAGGGGATGTAAAACCATAACATTTCTTTTAGAGGGGGTGTAAAATCATAGCCTTCCTTGTAGAGGGGATGTAAAATCATAGCTTTTCTTGTAGAGGGGGAGTAAAATCATAACCATCTTGTAGAGGGGATGTAAAATCATAACTTTCCTTTCAGAGGGGCTGTAAAATCACAGCCTTCCACTTAGAGAGGCTGTAAACCCCCCTATAAAGTATAACGAACTATTTTATTAAAAACAAATAGCTCACTAATGATATTTAAATGGTGCCCCTTGATGGGACAGTTAAACTCCGTGGTTCGATTCCTCGCAGTGGACACAGCAAATGGCCTAACGTGGCTTTTCACTAAAAAATAAGAAACGTATTCTTGTAGATGTGGCTGAGTAATGTTTAAAACGTATTCTTGTAGATGTGGATGAGTATTGTTTAAAACGTATGCTTGTAGATGTGGCTGAGTAATGTTTAAAACGTATTCTTGTAGATGTGGATGAGTAATGTTTAAAACGTATTCTTGTAGATGTGGACGAGTATTGTTTAAAACGTATGCTTGTAGATGTGGCTGAGTAATGTTTAAAACGTATTCTTGTAGATGTGGTTGAGTAATGTTTAAAACGTATTCTTGTAGATGTGGTTGAGTAATGTTTAAAACGTATTATTGTACATGTGATTGAGTAATGTT